ATATATTGTGTTTTTGTCGCTCGAATGAATTTTATTATTTCTTCAAGGTTCTTCACATACGTACACCTTGAGAGATACCAAGTAGGCGTAACATGTTCTCAAAAAATTAGGGTTGGCACGCAGAAGAATTTTGAGTCAGAGATTTTGCTTTTTTTGGCACACACTCACAAAAAGGTTGCCCACCACTGATCTAGGGCCAGGTTTGAATCTGCCAGAATAAATGAAGAGAAAATAGCCCTTCCAAATTCTAACCCTTTGTGCCTATGGCAACTACCAACTCTAATTTACTTCCTAGTTTCTCCACCTCTTTAATGGGACTGCTTCCAGTCTTGACTCCCAACAGTCTAGTCCAGGGGTGGGCAAACTTTTTGACTCGAGGGCCACAATGGGTTCTTAAACTGGACCAGAGGGCTGGAACAAAAGCATGGATGGAGTGTTTGTGTGAACTAATATAAATTCAAAGTAAACATCATTACATAAAAGGGTACAGTCTTTTTTTTCAATAGTTTTATTCATTTCAAACGGCCGGATCCGGCCCGCAGGCCATAGTTTGCCCACGACTGGTCTAGTCTCAACACAGGAGCCAGAGTGAGCGTTTTTTTTTATTTTTTGTGTGTGTGTTTTTTTAAATATATTTATTGATTATTTACAGAGAGAAAGGGAAAAGGATAGAGTTTGAAACATCGATGAGAGAGAAACATCGATCAGTTGCCTCCTGCACACCCCCTCCTGGGGATGTGCCTGCAACCAAGGTACATGCCCTTGACGGGGATTGAACCTGAGACCCTTTAGTCTGCAGGCTGATGCTCTGTCCACTGAGCCAAACCGGTTAGGGCCAGAGTGAGCGTTTTAAAACATAACTCACATGGAAACCTCTAATGGTTTTCCTTCTCAAAACCAAAGTGCTTGCTTACCCACTCTCGCCTCCTTCCTGCCCTTTGAACATACTGGGTATGCTCCTACCTTAGTGGCTTTATGCTGGCTGCAACCTCTACCTGAAATCCTCTTCCTCCTGATATCCATATGGCTAAACCCCTCCTTCAAATCTCTGCTCATATCCTAACCTCTTAAATGAGACTCACACTGACCGCTCCCTTCAGCCTTCCTAATAGCCCTCCTTATCATGTTCTAATTTTTTTTCTACCATTTTTCCTTCTAACATACTATAAAATCAGTATATTTCTGTTTCTTTTTGTTTAATGTCTGTTTTGTTCACTGGTATTTCCTAAATACCTAGAGAAGTACCTGACACATAACAGGCACTCAGTCAAAAATACACATTGAATGGATGACTATACAGAAAGTTAACAACTTTGATATCTAGAAAGTGCTTATATCGAAACGGTATCAAAAGGCAATTCACAACAAAAATAAAAATAATCAATAAACATTAAAGTTTGTTCAATCCAGTCCAGCTGGCATGGCACAGTGGTTGAGCGTCGACCTATGAACCAGGAGGTCACAGTTCAATTCCTGGTCAAGGCATGTGCCTGGGTTGTGGCTCGATCCCCAGTGTGAGGCATGCAGGAGGCAGCTGATCAATGATTCTCTCTCATCATTGATATTTCTAACTCCCTCTCCCTCTCCCTTCCTCTCTGAAATCAATACAAATATATTTTATAAAAAATAAAATAAAAAAAAAATAAATAAATACATTTCAAAATAAATAAATAAATAATGTTCAATCTATAATTATAAATTCAAACAGAAAACTTTAAGACTGCCTATAATATCACCATCAATAGATATCTACCATTTATATTTTGATGTATAGACTTCCATAATTTTCTCTATGCATTTGTCATGTGTATAAATTCTTTTGCTTCTAAAATCAAAGATTAAAAACAGTGCTACCAAATACTGGGGACAGCTCAGAAAAATAGGAAGTCTCACTTATCTTCTAGTGGGAGCGTAAACTGATATAAATCTTCTAAAAGCAATGTGGTAATTTCTAACAGTCTTTAAAATTAAATACTTAATTCATTAATTTCAATCCTAGGAATTTATCTTAATAAAATAACTTGTGAGGTATGAAAAATGTATGTATAAATAAGAAGTTCATTAAATTTAGAACAGCAAAATTCCAATAACCTAAATGCCTGACATGGTATAGCCATTAACATGATGACACAAATCTATATTGTAATTGAAAGATAATCACAATGTATTAATTTCTTTAAGGTTATAAACAGTATGTTCAGTTTAATCCTATTTTGTAAAAACAAAATATATATACAACAACAAAAAGAAAGAAAATAGTCTGTAAGACTATAAATAAAAATTACAAATGACTATTCTCAGTCAGTGGGATTTCATACTTTATTGTCTTCCTTATAATTCCCTGTATTTCCTTTTTTCAATGAGCATATATTACTATTGGAATCAGTGTTTTAAAAGACTTAGTGTTTGTGATTAATATAAAAAAAGATTCACAGGAGAAGAACGTGAGACACAATCACATCTTCATTTTGCACAAGACTGAGACTCACTTTTAATACAGTGAAAGCAACATGGAGGCACAAACTTACTCATCATCATCGTCCTGGAAGCTAAGCTGTAACTTCTCTCTTGGTTCAGCTTCACTCTGGCTACCGGGAGATGACTCAGATGGAACTGAAGACCTCTCTTCTACTAAATAAGATGCCTGGATATCAGAACACCTACACACAAAAATGCCTATTTTCAATTGTTAATAATTAAATTATGCACATTTAAAATTCATCGTGACATAGGCCAGCATGACTGTGAAACCAACCAGGTAGTAAAACAAATAGAGCCCCAGTGTTTTACACCATCATCCTATGTGCAAAGCACTGAAATGGCTCAGCAATGGAGCATGTATGTATTACACAACAGTCACAGAAATCTTAAAGAGATTTTACAGGGTTAATGCAATCCCTTCATTCAAAGGTAAAGATGATGCTCTTAACCAAATGTTAGGTTATGAGGAAGGAAAAGTGGTTAGATACTTAAGCATGAGCAAACTTTATACATTTTACAAGATGGACAAACTGTACACATCATATTTAGAGATATAACTCAAATTACCAGCCACCATTGAGGCTGAACTAACACAAAGCCAAAACACTATGGACAGAAAAATAAATAGACCAAAGGTCACTGGTACTCAATCCCAAACCTACCCACTGCCACTGATAGGGCAATGGAATAGGGCAAGAGACAGTAAGTTTTATCTTGTTCCATATTAATTTTACATATATGTGGCCATTTACCTCAGATATAGCAAAAGCTCACACTTGGCTGAGAAATTTTACAGAAGGATCAGTATATTGTAGGCTTTATAGGTCTAAAAAAGAAATTATCTGTTCCATTCTTACCTATTATCAGTGCTGGATCTATTTCTAGCAAGTGTTGAAACAGCAACAGGCAAGCCAAGATTTGAAGAAAGTGTTACATTTTCCAAAATCCCACTATTACCAAGTAATGAATTGGTTAAAAAGCTCGGAAATGACTCTTCAGTTATACCTCGAAAATCTTCCATCTCCCTGCAACAATAAAAGTTTCTATAAATCAAATATTACTATAAAACTTTTTTAAATGATTAAGCATGCAGGTCTCAAATCTTAGAAAACTGATAAATCTTAAGAAAAATCCACCTGGCTGGCGTGGCTCAGTGGTTGAATGTTGACCTAGGTTGCAGGCTCCATCCCAGGTGTGGGGTGTGCAGGAGGCAGCCAATCAATGATTGTCTCTCATCATTGATGTTTTTTTCTCTCTCTCCCCCTCTATCTTCCTCTCTAAAAATCAATAAAACTATATTTTTTTAAATCTTATTTTTGGAACAGCACTAAAAAGGGAAGTCAGAAGTAAATTCTCAGAATACTTTGCTACTTTATAGAAAATTATTGCCTTAGCCGGTTTGGCTCAGTGGATAGAGCATCAGCCTGCGGACTGAACAGTCCCAGGTTTGAATCCAATCAAGGGCACGTGAGCGGGTTGTGGGCTCCATTCCCAATGGGGGGCATACAGGAGGCAGCCAATCAATGATTCTCTCTCATCATTGATGTTTCTATCTCTCTCTCCCTCTCCCTTCCTCTCTGAAATCAATAAAAAAAATACATTTAAAAAAAATCAAACTAGCTTATAATTAACATAATAATGATATACAACACAGCTTAACGTATTCTTGGATTGCTATAGCAAAATATATGAATTACCACAAACTAATCCAGTAAAGAAACAAAGAAGGGACAACACTGCTGGCATAGACTGATAATTTTAGGATATATTTAAAAGTTTACTAGTTGGGTACCCATTCTAACATGGAATAAAAAAAACTAGCAAACTCTAAAATCTAGCTTCTGATTTCAGAGATTATCATTAAAAAGTGAGACCACATTAGAATGTAAGCCCCCTGAGGGCAGAATAGACCCTCAATAAATTTGTTAAATGAATGTTTTCAAACTATGTCAATACATAGGAAATTTATCACCAATTATCATATAAGTATCCTCCTCTCAGATCATGCCCCAGCATTTTCCTCTGTTGGATATTCCTATTTCCTCTTCTTGATTTATATAAACATGTTCAAAATTCTTCCGTCCTTTATTTGCACTTCCTGCCACTAACTCTCACCTTCCTTTCACAACTAAGAGTTTTAGGAAAATCATAAAGTACTACTTCTACATCTCTTTCTCTTACGTTAGGGATACCCAGGATTCTGATCTCAGATTTTATGTCATGCAATGTATATCTTACACATTAGGAATCTCAACCTCAAATGCCTTCAGGCATAAATACTGTCAGATAATAGAACCCTAAGAACTGAGCTCAAATGGAAATTATAGGCCCCACACAAACCCATTTAAATTCAATAAAAACACTACTGCCAAACAAAACATATCTACTGGTGGAGTCCATACCTAAGGGCAAAACATGCCCATAACACACCTTTAAACATTCTACATCTTTTTGTCTTTGCTACTACCACCCCGCCCTATGGAAAATCCTCCTAAGCAATCTATATGCTTCTATTGTTGCCACCCTACAATTAATTTCCCACTCAGGAATCAAAAGAAACATTAAATATAAATCATGACCACATGCCTACTGAAAATTTCAGTGGCCACCTTATTTTCTATCCCACTGGGCTCACTCACCACATATTGGCTTTTCTGTTCCTATAAAAGCCAAGCCCAGCCCTACCCTGGAGCCTACAATACTCTTCTAGATCTCTGGACAGCTAGGCCTTCTTCCGGACATTCACCTCAATTTGAATGTCACCTTATCATTAAGTCAAATGTAGCCCCACAGTCTATCACAATCATTTTAATTTCTTCCTGCACTTATCATTATCTATTTATTTTTGTATTTGTCTGTCTTCTTCCACTAAAAAGACTGCTCCTTAAGAGCAGGGACCCTGCCTAATTATCACTTTTTTCTAACACCTATAACAATGCCTAGCACATAGTAGGCACTCAAATATTTGTGAAACGAATAAATGATTGACAGTAGGTGGTCCATCTCTGACGTTAGTTTCTTGAGGACATGTCTATCTTGTTCAGCCACACGGTCCCAGTACCTGGTACACTGGTGGGAATGAGTTGAAAAAAGTAATCTATATTCTTTAGTTATCCCTACTATTGAAGAAACTGAGGCTAAGAAAGGGAATTAAGAGACTTTTCCAGCCCTGGTTGGTTTGGCTCAGTGGATAGAACATCAGCCTGCAGTAGACTGAAGGGTCAAGTCAGGGGCACATGCCTGGGTTGCTGGCTCGATCCCCAGTAGGGGGCATGCAGGAGGCAGCCAATCAATGATTCTCTCTCATCACTGATGTTTCTCTCTCTCTCTCCCTCTCCCTTCCTCTCTGAAATCAATAAAAATAAAAATATTAAAAAATTTTAAAAAAGAGAGAGAGACTTTTCCAGTCCACACAGTGCAAATGGGAGCAGAGGATTCACACCCAGGCAAGTCTGGCTCCAGAGTATTCTTTCTTCTGAACTAATACCATCTCCCTCATCTTTAAATCACCTCAGCCCAGACCTCTATCCTAAAATCTACACTCATGTTACCAAAGGCTATTTGATAACTACCTTACCTCAATGCCTCCCAAGTAGTGCAAAACCAACAAATATAAAACCAAACCCACTACCTCTCCCCCACCCACTCTTCCCATTACCCTTAATTTTGACATATGTTATCCATATCCTCTTGCTATACACGTCAGACAGAAACCTGGGACCATCTGAATCTTCTTGCTCTCTCAATTAGTTACCAAATTCTAAAATACATCTCTGGAGCTGAGGCCCATTTCTATATTCCCAACGCCTGTGGCCCATCACTTTTTATTTATTTAAATTCTTTATTGTTTAAATAAAGTATTACATAAGTCTCCTTTTTCCCCCATTGACCTCTCCCTGGCCACCCCCACCCCGTGTCTGTGTCCATTGGTTACGTTCATATGCACGCATACAAGTCCTTTGGTTGATCTTACCCCCGCCCATCACTTTTTAATCTAAATGTTACTACATGAGTCTTCCAAATGGCCTCCCAGGTCTAATCTTTTAATTACTACGTTATTCTTTTACAGATATATAAACCACATTGAAATACATACCAAGCTCTTTAAAGATTATTCCTACGAGGAGTCAAATCTAAGAAAAATTAGATATTAAGAAAAGATCATTTGTTCAA